AAGATGCACTGAGACAATTGAGACATGTACTAAGGCATTTGCCATTTGATAAAATGAATGAGAAATGCCATTCTGTTGTGAACATTTGCCAAGAGGTTTGGAGGTTTGTCCATGTTATTTTGAGAATGTAATTTCTGTTTCAAGAAATGAGCCAAACCAATGGAGAAAAACTGTAAGCCAGGCACTTAAACTTCTGCTCCACTGTGTCTCAGCTACCATCGTTCTGGCAGAAAGGGCGCTAAAGCCAGAGCAGGGGAGAGGCGAGCTGGAACAAACCATTTTGGGAGGGGGGGAGGTTATCTATACTTTTGTTGTTAAAAGTTTTGTTGTTAGTTTTTAGTCGACCTCGGCCGCTACATGATCATTTCCTAGCACCAGTTCTTTGTTTATGTGATTCGGTGGCTTATTTTCATCAGTGCTCCTTGTCTCTCTCCTATAGGAGTGCCGCCTCAGCTGACAGCGCTACTGCTCGGGATATGAGTGCCCCTCCCTTACTAACCAATCGAATGCCAAGAAGCTGGTAACTGAGGCAAGACACGCTTCCTATTGGTTAGCAGCTGTTTCTACAAATGTGTCGCTAGGGGCGCACCTTGGACCAAGGGCAGGACACCTGCTATGAAAGGATGCTGAGAACCACAGGTGAGGCCAAATCAAGAGAGGAAAAATCCGTGGAAAGCAAGTCCACAGACACGTTGCAGCAGGATAACAGGCACCTTTATGATACGTAGCTGCACAAAGTAATATGGAGGTGAAACACATTCATTTTTGGATCATGATTATTATTACCCTTTTTTCACCAAGAACTCCCATTGATAACATAGTGTCTTTTACAAAAGTAATCTTGCTACACTATCAACCATACAACCTAAAACATCTAAAACAAAAAAGAAGCTGGAAATACAAAAAATATACAAAGTTGTCAACATACGACACAAAAAACATTACTTATTATGCTTTTAAATTGAATAAATATATTACTTCATTCCTCATTTAAATTGATTAGAAATTTTATTTTGTTCAAATATTTTTTATAATTTTTTGTATTAAAAATGTATACTTTTTATTAATATTTTTAATACAAAAAAAATCAGCAAGGAGGACAATTTGTATTACCCATAGCGAGAACTGATGAGCCTGGATCTGTAAAAGTTATATGAGTCATAATTTGTGCTTTGAGGAGCTGTTTTTTGGTGTATGTGTGTGTGTGTGTGTGTGTGTGTGTGTGTGTGTGTGTGTGTGTGTGTGTGTGTGTGTGTGTGTGTGTGTGTGTGTGTGTGTGCGCGCGC